GTGTGTGTGTGTGTGTGTGTGTGTGTGTGTGAGTGAGAGAGACAGACAGACAGACAGACAGACAGACAGAGAGACAGACAGAGAGAGGGAGGGGAGAAAGAGCAAGCAGGAGACAGAATGTGTGTATGGGTGTGTGTGTATATGTGTGTAAGCCTGTGAATGTTTGCGCAGGCGTGTGTGTGTTCTTGTGTGTGTGTGTGTGTGTTGCTGTGTGTGTGAGAGAGAGTGAGAGAAGCAGAGCAAGAGAGGGAATGTGTGTGTATTTATGTGTGCGTACGTGTATATGTGTGTGTTAGTGAGTGAGAGAGTGAATGAGCGAGCAAGGAAGAGAGAGAGAGAGAGGACATGTACGTGTGTATGTGTGTGAGAAAGAGTGGGGGAGGGGTGTACAAGAGAGATGTGTGCGTGTGTGTGTGTGTGTGAAAGGAAAGAGAGGGAATGTGTGTGTGCGTGTGAGCGCGCCTGCGTAGGAGGGAATGTGCGTCAACTTGTGTGTGTTTGTGTGACTGTATATGTGTGTGTGTGTGTGTGTCTGACAGAGATAGAGGGGGAGGGGTGTGTGTGCGGGGAGAGCTAGGAGCAAGCTCTGCAAATGGTGTGTGTGTGTGACTGTGTGTGTGAGTGTGTGTGTGTGTTACAGCAGCACAATATGTGCCTGTGCTGAATGAAAGGGAAATGAATGTGGTGTGTGTGCCTGTGTGTGTCTGTGAGTGTGTGTCTGTGTGTGTGAGTGTGCTGGGGAGGAGGGTGTGTGTCCTTTATTGTGTGTGTATCTGTGTGTAGTTAGTGAGCACTGTATAATTGTGTGTTGCTGTACATGTGCACTGCTTGCACGTGCATGTGAATGTTTGTCTTCAGTAAGGATTGTGTAGCTGTGTGTGTGTGGTGTGTGTGCATATGTGTGTGTATGTATTTGTGTGTACGTGAATACACACACATATTGGGGGTATTGGTGCGGGTGATGAAGTGTTCATGATAGTGTGCACACGCAAAGAGAGCAGAATTACAATTAAACCAAACTCATTCAGCAGCTCCCAGATCTCCATACATTTCCCCTCACATCCTTCTTCTTCCGTCTTATCTCAGCCGAGCATCATTTCTAAGCTTCATGATGGCTGTTACATCCTCCTGTGTGTATCAGGACTATTTGTCAAGTGGTTCCATATTCCACCAGTTCTGGATCATAATCTGTAAATATAGAGTCTCATTTAAGTTTTGTTTTATAAGAAGTTTTGAAGTAAGTCTTACTTACTTCAAAAAAATGATGCAGCCTAAAGCTAGGGGTCGTCGATTAGGTTCAGCCAAAGGGCAGTTTTTTCTCAGCAGTTAACAGGTGCAGTGGAGACACAGTTGGCCTGTAAATTCTCTGGTTCTGTTTGAATTATACATGTTTTAATTTGCTCAAGAATAAAATAACTATTTGGCTGATGTTTAGCTCTGGTGCAAGCATCCTCATGGCCTGAGCAGTAGCCCAGCTTAGAACTGTAATCTAACCCTAACCCAGATGGTGAGGGATCAGCTATTACCACCTGAATAGGTCAGACTAGGCTACAATCAAAAACAATGTTCCTCTCAAAACCGTGCAAAAGAAAGCTGCAGTAACTTTTATAAAAAATAACATTTTGTGATATTTGTTCAATCTCCTGAAACAAATCAACAGCCTGTTGCACCAGCTGTGTGCAAGTTCAAACTGAGCCTAGTTATGTCTATGTATTAATTATTAAGTGGTTATTTATGAATTGCTAAAATAAAAACGGTTGCACAATGTAGATAAGTTACAACATAACTCTAAGTGACAACTAAATAGTTACATGTACCCTTAGGGTAATGTAAATCATAAAATGTCACAGAATTATACTCAGCTGTTTTTCTGCCAAACATCATTTTTTCATGTCATTTTGCAACACAGTAATCCGACACCTTATTTGTTGATATAGTTCAATATCGATCTAGCTTACTACGTTCTGCTACGATGCTAATGTTCATGGTAACTATGACGATAGAACTCTTATCCTTGACTGTTGATTGGCCACTTGACTTTACTTACAAACTAGTACATGTTGCCACCAATCTTAGTAGCTGGTTAAGTTACAAACTTAATAGTTTACACTTTAATTTAGTGTAAAGGCTAATTTACAGTTACACATATCCGGTGCAACCCAGTGCAGGTTCCTCTGGTTCCTCCCAGTGTTCCTAATTTGCAAGAATCCACCACATGAACCTGAAAAAAAAACAACCAGTCAGAGCCAAGAAGCATAGTTGATTGTTGAGCCTCATTCCCAGGTTGTCAAATACCAATGCTTTGGGACCTTTGAATGAGGAGTATTAAAGAATAGTCAGAGAAATGTGCATGTATCTTACCCTTCAAGGGGTCCTCCAGTGATTTAGTGTTGCACTTGTATAAAGTTTGAAGACTCACGTGAGACACATGAAAAAGAATGGTCAAAATAAAAGCAGCGGAGGCCGAGACGACCTGACTTTCAGTCTTGACAGATGGGTTCCCAGTACACAAACAACCAAGGATGCACACGCAGCAGGGGGGTAGAAAACCCATTACTAGAATGTCATGATAGCTTTCAATGGACATTTTCAGTATTTAGAAAAAAAAGCAACTTGCTTAAAACTAAAAATTTAAAGGTGAATTCCATTTTTTACCTCATGCCACACTAATTTTTGACAGATTTGTCAGCTTACTACTGTAAAATAAAACAAGGAATCTCAGTGAGAAACTGCAGCTAACATAACGCTAACACAGACTATACAAAGTGTCTTAAAACATTAACTGGCAAAGCAAATAGGGGTTAAAAGCAAAGAAGCCCCTCACACGTAAGTAATGTTAGCACAATAGATATATGCCAGATGTGTTACATTAGTGCAAAAAAACCATTTTAGCCAAACAGGATCACAAAAAGAGACTCTCCAGACTAGTTTTATTTTTTATTCTGAAAAATTATGAGCGTAACAACATGATGCATTTTCCATCCAAAAGCCATCGGTTCCGACTGCTGTGACCAAGACGCAAACTGAAACTCTAATGCATGTCAAACTGATCACCAGAGCATTGATCACAGAGTCTAAGAAATGTTTGCACTATTCAATAAACAGCCATAAACATGCAGCAGACCTTTTTTCCTCAGCAAGTTCTGTGCAAAACTATCCACCACGTTCCAGCACTTTGCACCACATAAAATCCAGAGCTAATGGCTAATTGTGCACTTTGAGGGAGGTACTCGAGCTAAAGAACATATTCCTCCCATGATAATTTTGCTATTAATGCAGTTTAAGGCACAAAAACAACTTCATGTTCATCCCCTTATAATCTCTCAGTAATTGTTTTGTACCCCAACGTGTGTGCATCTCACTGATATCCCCTCTGTCTCCTTTACCTCTTTCCAAAAGTTTCTAATGCAGACTCACTGTTAAAAAAGTCCCAAGCCCAAGCCGAGACGATCCTGACATAGTATTTGAATTGCTTGGTTTAATTAATCTGTTATTAATCTAATAAGTCTATAAGACCTAATTTTAGCACCATTGTCTGTCTAGATTGACCCAGCACATGGCACAGAACAAAGAACAGTGTGCTCCTACACAATGGTTTTGATTATTAGAGGGTCAATTTGTCACAATTTCAGTGGAAGTTTTAATTTCAGTTTTATGTAGCCTAGTACAAGTAGGAGAAGCTACTGTTTCTGTAAGTATACTACTGTACTTTTATAGATATTCTTACTGTTCCTCAATATAGACTATAGATACACTTGATAAATAAACCATGCTATAGGTTTATGTTATGGACATTTGAATTATTTCAAGTTTGAAATCGAATTTCTGATAAATTAGCAACAAAGCTGATACTGTTATATTACTGAAATATGAATCAACTACAAGTAAAACTACTAGTGTTAAAAAACACTTGAAGGTCCAGTGTGTAACATTTATGAGGATCCATTGACAGTGAACAACACATTGTGACATGATGGTATGATGTCCAAGTTTCTGTCAACATGAGATCCTTCAATAAATGTATACAACTGGACGCCTTCAAGTGTTTTTTATGTTCTTGGTATGGAATGTGTAGTTGACTCATATTTCGGATGAATGATAAACAGATATCAGCTTGTTGCCTCGGGAATTTATCAGAAATTCGATTTAACTTGAAATAGATTCAAATGTGCCCCCATAACATGAATGTGTCAAGCGAATGGGGGGTTGGTTAGATTTCATCAGAAAGAGTGCGTTACGATCGTATCGAGTCGGATAGAATTTTGATGAGAGGACAGTGGAAGGAAGTATCTACATAAAGGCAGTGACAGGTGAGTAGGGTCGCCCTTAAGAGGAAGACAGTAGGCTGTCTGCCCTACTTTCTAGTTGACGTGTTAGCGGGCGTATGCATCACAAGCCTGAAATTAAAAGGGCTTCCACGCTGA